AACAAAACAAAAATAAATAAAATAAAAATTCAAATGACAAATCAAAAATTAGGGGGAAAAAATGGTAACACCCTAGATAGATTAAAATAGATGTGTTTGTTTTAACAGAGACTGAATTTCTCTTCTGAAAGGGTTAATATTTTATACATGTTCAAATTTAGAGGAAACAATTGGCTTGAAAATTAATGTTGATTATTCAAACCATTTGTTAAAGATATTTTACAGAATTTCCATTTGGAAAAAAGATTATGTTGCCAAAAAAGTACCCAAAATTAATCCCCCCCAAATCATTTGAAGATTATGAAACACATGGGATGAAATTCTTTTGTAAGTGAAATAATATGGAAGCCATTTTTGGATGCTTTTTCTTGAACGACTTCTAATATGTACTGTTGCATTTTATATGAAGAGCAAACTGAGGAAAAATAACTGTCCAAGGGCATTAACATCGATCCATATTTTGTATCTTCAAGGTATAAAACAGGTAATGTTTGTTTGAACTGATTTGTGACAGAAAATCATCACAAATATCTGTCAGCATGTCCATCTAAAAGAGGTTTAGATCCTGGCTCTGTCCCCACCCTACTGTGTGGGCAAGTTGCCTAAACTCGCTAACCTCACATCCCGATCTGAAAAATGGGGCTAAGAATTATGTCCACATCACAGGGTTCACCACACCATGCACCACTAATAAATGCTTGCTGCTCTCAACAAGGGAAGTGTTGATTTAGTAAGTGCCTTTCCTGATTTAGTAAGTGCCTTTCCTGATTTTTACTAGCTTTTGTACCCAATGTACAAATAAGGAAAACAGTGAAGTAGTTTTGATGACACATGAGGTAAGCTAATATGCTTGAGAGCACTTTAGAAATTGTAAAGTGTTGTGGAAGTATGACTATAACAGATATTTGCATTTACAGGAATGTGTTTACCAATTTGTAAATGCACTGAAAATTTGCTTAATAACAATATTCTCTTGACACTGTTATATGTTTCTTAAATATGTGTATGCTTTGTTTTCTTTGATATTGTAAATTCTTACACATTTGAATTGTGTTAAATTTTAGTGCCTTTCTGTATTCTTAGAGAGTTGCTGAAATACAAAAATGATTTTGTACCTAAATTATAAAACTTCAGAAAGGTCCCTACCCAGTAAGCCAAATTGCCATAGTTCTAGTTTATATGTTAGGGCTTCCTAAGATATTAATAGCACTTCTGGGGTAACACGGTACAGCATAAACTCCTTACTCAGAGAAACTTGGATTTCAAACCCAAATCAGCTACTTATAAACTGGACAACTTACTCAACCTTTCTAAGCCTAAATTTCACTATCTGCAAAATATCTAGTGCATGGATTATTGTCAGTCAACAAACACTCATTACATTGCTTAGTCAGCACCAGGCAATTTCAGGCCCCAGCAGGGAATTAAGCAAAGGCCCTGCTTTCATAGTTCACATTCTAATAGGAGAAGCAGACAACAAAGAAGCAAAAATAAATAAATAAACAAGCCAACAAAGGTGCTGTCAAATAGTGATAAATGCTAAGGGTAAATTAAATAGTAAGATCTGATAAGGGGAGAGAAGAAGCTGGGGTTCTAGATGGGATAGTCTGGAACACCACCGAGCACTGAGCTTTGGAGCATGTGATAATCTGAGGGAAGAGGGCTCAGATCGAGGGAAAAGCGCATGCAAATGCCCTAGGATAAAAAAAAAAAAAAAAAAAAAAAAAAAAAAAAGCTTGGTGTAGATGAGAGACGGAAAGAAAGCCAGTGTGGGCGGAATAGAGTTGGGGGTGGGGGAGACACTAGGAAAAGCAGATGAAGCTCAGATGATGAGGGGCATTCTAAGCCACGGGAAGGAATGTGAATTTTAAGTGCAGTGGAGAGTTTTAAGTAGGTGTGTGATATGGCCTGATTTACATGTTAATGTTAAGGTCACTCTGACTGCTACACTG